TATGCGAAATGTAATAACCATCATATACTATCGTAGTTTGTTTCATTGGATTTAAAATAATAAAGAGATTAACGAGAATGCAAAAAGCATCAGAGAATTTCTGCAAGGATACGAATAATGAAAATATTAGAGTAATTACATTTTCAAACGAGAGGAAATAAATGAACACAAAGAGAAAAAGAAGTTGAAAGTAAATATGTGCTGTATAATAACAATAATGAAGGAATTAATAGACGTGATAATAGAGATAATTATAGAAATGATAAATGATTCTTCGAGTCATCAAAGTGCAGGATGCATTAGTTCTTAAATGAGTGTTGAATAGTGCGGGATTACAAACAAAGTACGTGGATAAAGCAGCACGATCTCGCGGCGATTCGAGTTATGCACCACTCGAATGGTCACGTAGGTCGAATCGACTGTGGTCATAGATCGTGGCATCTCCCCGTGACCTCTGAACCACCGCTCAACCAAATGAGTCGGCACTTGTGGCTGAACACGCGGTAACTCGGAAAGAGAAGGCTCGATCATTAATTAATAATCCTTCCGGGATGAGATATGTACGACTATGCATCAAGTTCATGCGACAGCGTGGAGCTCGTGGCTTAAATACCAACAGCTAACCAATCAGTTTCAACTCTACACGTTCAGATAACTGTCCGTTTATGTTTTACATGGATTTACTTATTGAGTTGAGATATTGTATATGTTGGATATTATTAAAATGCTGAGAAAAGAGAGCACACGCGTACTCAATCATAATTAATTGCAATCGCGAACTCATCGCCCTAACAATTATCTTTGTTGACATCCGGCTGTCACTTCTCGTTAAATTTATCTCAATTCCTTCTTTTTTTGCTCACGTTTTTTATGGGTGTGAATGAGTGGATCAATTTAAATCTCAATATTTATAAGGTTCGATCAATCATGTTCGGTTGATAATTGTAGAGAAGTCGAGGGAATAAAAGTATCATATTCTCTAGGTCTATATAGGGTGATCTAAAATGATTCATGTAGTTTTAAAGATTCCAAGCGCATGATAATTAATTAAATTTTCTGCATAAAAGAAAATTTAAACGACAAATACTTTCTTTTATGTAATAATCCATAAATTGAGACAAACTTTTATATAAATGGATCAAGTTGAAGACTAGAAATTACTTTGAGATAAAATCTTTAAAAAATTTTTGATTTATTAGAAAGTTTGTGTTAATTGAAATCGAATAAAAAATAATTTATTGGTTAAAAAAAAATGATGTAGTATAAATTGAAAAGACTTTCACATTGAAAAAGAATGGATTTAAATCAATAAACAATTATTCACAATAATAGCTTTCAATAGTTAAAGGGATTAATGATGGATAACTAATATTTTTTTGACTAATATTGAACTCTTTGTAATGCTTATGAAGGATTATTTAATGATATCTAATCTGAATAATTGTAACTACTATTAATTAGAAAATATTCATCAATAAATTTCAAGCATATCAATTTTCATGAATATCAAATTTATTAGACAAAACCATAATCTAACGAGCATGAAATGTATCTTTTTATTAAAACACTAATTGAGAATTTCAAAGTATTCAAAATATTCAATTAATTATTACAAAACATCAATATTTTAAACAATAAATATTACTATCATTTAATTTCATAGATGAGAAGGAAAGAATAATAATAAATTTATTGAAGAAGTCAATGTTAGGTAACCCAGTATAATTTCATAATTCATTCTAAAAAATTGAGGAATAATGAAAGTAGAAGAGAAAAAAAAAGATTTGATAAAAGGTCAATGATGATTTATGATTGTGTTTATGGTCGATACGGTCTAGGTTAATTGGCAAATTTTTGTCTGACAATTACATATATAAGTAATAGGGAAACAGAATGGAGGATCATGGAGAGTAAGAGAATGACTTTTGTAGATAAATGTTGTTCCGATGACGGGTGAGATATCTGAAATGGCCATTTATCGTGAGTGTATAAAAACGAAAACAATCAGTCAAAGTTTATTATACTCCCAACAGTGAACGATCAAATAGTTTATATTCACTAATGATGCTTTTTTACCAGATAATTCAATCAAAATGATTACCATAAATAATTAAATTCTTCCATCCATATATATATATATATATATATTATTTTTCATTCAATAAAATAATACATACGGGCGTAAATAATTACACGTATCTCATATGAATTCTCTCATGAAAATAAACTCACAAGGGAGATGCATAGATATGTGTTAGTTAAACAGAGAATGAGAGAGGAATAAACTCTCAAGCGTATATATACATATTGCACTCGGGCCATACCAACAATTCCGGACTACCTACGCGCGTTCATTAATTAATCACAATCGCCTCGCGATTACCTTCAGGGTGCGGCAATGAATCAAATGGTGGGTCATGCTATCTCTCTTGTCGACTAAACGTTTCGACGTGCGTGTAATCAGCGTGTAACTCGACTCTCGTTCCGTCTTGTTCAACCATCTTTCCCTGACTTCCTAGCCTCCTCTCTCTTGTGTTATTTTACTCCCGCACAAATACAAAATCATCTTCATACCAGTGCAGTATGCAAATTACGTGTAATAAAATATCAAAATTTCTTAACCATTTTTCAATGTATCAATGTCTTGGAAAAAAAACTTTATCTATCAAGTATCTGTACAAGATCTTTTGCTTGAGCTACAATTCATACTATAGTAAATGAAACGCATATATTATTAAATTACAAGGCTTTTGAAATTTTTCTTTTTTTTTAGTCGAAAAGATCTGTGATAATGACTTTTGTCGTCTCGGCTTTAAATTATGGTCTTTGATTCCATATTTTTCTACTTTAGATTGCGTATTTTCACAGTAAATATTCGAGATACAGAAATTAATTATCATTAAAGGGAACAACAAATTTTGTTTTTATTTTAATAAAGAGTAATTCTGATTGAAAGAAAGAGAGATAGTTGAGATGAGTTAATTAATGATTTTTAATGTTAATCAATGGATTATTTTGTATCTTAATTACCCATCTAATCACCTGTTTCATTATATGACAGGTACGATAAAATTTATTGAATATCAGAGATTTTACTTCAGCAGTAAATTAACTCAGATAAATGCTACATGGTGTAGCAACAAGTGAAGAAAGTGGCGCATTTTTATATGTCTAGAGTAACAGAATGAACGAATGTAGTCTTATGCTACATTTGCACTTAAACAAGTGTGGAAATCGTCGTATGAACTAAAGATAAGTGTGATATCTGCACGAATTTTCGTATAAAAGTAGTATAAGATTTCAACCATTTGTCTCTTTTTACACATGTTGGACATTTCAGTTCATACTAAATTTACTCTAAAAATACAATTTAAGAAAAATAGGGATATAACAGATGCATAAGAAGTATTTATGCTCGTTAAAATAGATCATTAAAGAAAATTAATAGTTTTATAATCGATGTGGTAATTGATGGTTTAATGTTTGATGTGATCGAAAATACTTTTCTCTCACTGGGGACCAGAAAATTTAAAAGAATGAGAAATGCTTTTACTGTTAATTTTTTTTTTTTTTAATTTATCGTCTTTTAAACATCCATCTCGTTCGAGTAATATTGAAGATCAAAGATAAAAATAATGTAATAAATTTTAAAAGATACATAAAACGAAAGGTATATTTTACACTAGGTAAAAAAATTTATAAAATTGTAATATATAACATCAGATAGTTAATAAGAAACCCTATTTAAATTTGTTTAGACAATCTATTTTATGTTATTATAACTTACATCGTCAATTAAAATTGATGGTTTTTCATAGCCAAATAAATATTGAATATTTACTTTTACAACAAATGCTTACACACAATATGAGAATTGAAAATAAAAAAAAATTCTTTAAATTTAGTAACGAGAAAATTTTATCACCACCAGGTGTTTATAATTATTTTTATCATGCAAAGGAATAGATTAAATATTAAAGAATATTTTTTAATAAGAGAAATAAAGTTATTACTCTCTGTAAAAAAAAAGAGATAAAATGATTTTTTTTTTCTCATTTAAGGAAGCAAAGAAAATAAAAAAAGAAGATAATTATCGTCACTTTATTTGCCTGCACGAAAAATAATTAGAAAAACAAACACATTAAATATATATAGGAATAGGGTCGTTTACTTTTACTGCACAGTAACTTGAGTAGCAGTTTAGCTTCGAAAAACCTGCATAGATCCACCACAGATAAATTCTCATCTCCCCTAGGTGCATTAATGACTCCCAATAAGGGTGTTTGGCAAATAAAAAAAGGTGGTGGGTTTTTCTTGACAGAAGGATAAGTTGTATTGACACGAAGGAGAGTGAAGGGAAAGCAAGCATATACTGGACGACGTTAATGGAGATGTTTTTGTCAGATCTCATAGACATCTAAAGGGCTTTACGGACACGATATTCTCTCGTTTTTTTTCTTTGTAGTTCATGTTCTACGTGCACGAGAGACCCGTCGCGCTGGTAAACTTCGTAATGGAGCAATAGAGCACGTCCTGGTCGAACAACGCGGGCGTTGGCAAAGCCACGAGCGTGGTGGCTGTAACATTGCTCGTACTACATCCTTGCAAAATTACATCAAGACTCGAAGCTTTCTCAAGATCTCACAACAACCAAGAGACGATTTGAAGATGCTTCGATCGAACTGTTTCCTTTTTTTATCGTTACTTTTCTCTTCGTAGATATTTGCTTTTTATTTATTTATTTTTCGTGTTTTCTATTTTTTTTGGTGTTCAAACAAGAATAACAACTCTTGAGACTAAGTAATAGATTTATAAATTTTTTTTTGTTAGTAGAATTAATAATAATAACGATAATAATAGTAATAAAAACACTACTGAATATTTATAGTTGATAAAAATGATATTTAATTTGCATTTAAAAATTGAATTTTCCTTTTTCCTAGTGGGATAAATACGTAAATGTGTGGGTAAAAAGAGATTGTAAAACATTTTCAACTTACCTTCTTCAAATGGCCCTTACGAGTGCCTATAAAGACAACGGTAAAATCTCCAGTAGATGTTGCTGCTACAGCGGTACATAGCTCTGGAAAAGTGAGCACTGGAGCTGCTGTCATTGGCTCCGATCCACCCAATGGTGTGTTGACGTCTAAACCACAAAAATCCTCCGCAATTGTTTGTAGTTTCTGAAAAAAACAGGAAAAAAATTAAAATTATTTCTCTATTTAAATGATGAATTTTTCCCCTCTCCCAATATGTCAGATATTTAATTTAAAAAATTCCCATGCATTGTTATTTTAATTTAAATTAAATTTTCTGGGATTTTTTTTTGCATGTTTTTCTAGTTTTACAATACTGGTGAATGAGAAATAGAAAATTCGAATTTTTTATACTCTTGAGGCTTTGGTTCTCTCGATTGATTTAAGAGACAATAATGTATTAAATGTTGTCCTCAATGGCAAAATTTACATTCCTCGATTTTCTTTGAAGGACACTTTTATCTCAGATACTTCTTACCTCAGTTTACTTTATATTGTAGCATACGTAAACATGTATGCTATATCTACACTATGTACATTAGAATAATAGATTCACGATAAAAAAACCCTAAGAAAATTTTATTCTTTGCAAAAACAAATTTATTTTCTTCAACTTTTCAAACAGTTCAGACTAAAAGACTTTCAATAAAACATTTTCAATTTTTCCTTTTTTTTTGTTGTACTTTAATTTAAAAGATTTTTTTTTATTAAATTTAATCAATTTAGAAATATAATTTCACTGTAATGAAAACACTTTATTACACAAAATTAATTTTATTCACCCTCGTGTACTTCACTTTCAATTTATTACAACTTGATTCTTCGATCAAGAAAATAAAAATGACTCTTTGCAAACATTTTGCAAAACGCAATATAAGCATAAAAAATTTTAATAAATATCAATAATATATCAGTATTATTGCCAGTAAAATAAAATTTTTTTTTTCTAACGTCTTGGTAAGAGTCATTAATTTTTAAAAAGAAAAAAAAAAATGAAAAGATTTAGAATGGCAATAGCTAATATATTAGCAAATGATTGATTTCTGTTGTGAAATAAGTATAGAGAAAAACGTCGGTCAGTTAATCTGAGAGTAATATAATCCAATAAGAAAATGTAGAGTACATATAACTTGAGGGCATTTGTTAATGTACATATGTATTGAAGAGAGACTGCAAAGTAGTATTAATGTGAAACGAGGTGGCGCCTGAATGAGTATAGAAGTAAAATGCCCTCGACTCACACCCACGCGAGTTAGACAAGCGGAACAAACGTCGCTAGAGTTTGAATCCACGTGAGGATCAACCAAGCACAAGAATAAGAATGAAAGAATACCTAAAAGAGATGAAAAATTATTTACATTCCTCAAAAAATACATTTTGAATTCGAGAATAATTGTTTGAATTTCTGCGTATATCATTTTCAGCAGAGAAAAAAAAATGAGAAACTCAATTACGAAAACTTGGAAACAAATTTTTTTTTCTCTGTTTCATGAAAACATTTAAAGTTTATAAATTATTCTAAATTACCAACATTTTTTTTTGAAATGCATTCACTTGCATCTTCGGAATTCTTTCATTGAAAAATCTGTGCTACAGTTGCAGATATTAAAATCCGGTCGCATTAGAGTGTATAATTTGTTTTTTAATTAATGACTTTCATACAAGGCTTGGCATTGTATCAAAAAATGAATTTAATTCTGGAAAAAAACTCGAGAAAAACGTGTGTATAAATGTTCATTTAATTGCTGGCATTTTTGGAGCAGTTAGACAATGTAATATTTTATCATGTGCTCTAGCAAAGTATACATAAATCAGTTTGTGAGAAAAAAATGAGTATAAAAAAAGGAAAAAAATTCAAATTAGATACTACATATAACGTTTTCATTATATGTACTTTACAATAAAATTACTAAGTGTTTTTGATTAAAATTATTTTTATCTTTAAACGAAAAAGCGAATTCATGTTGAATAATTAAAAAGTATTACATTAATTTTGAGTATATAAATAATTGCATACAAATTTTATTTCAATCAAATATGGATTATTTTTTTATTGACCTCTTGACAGATTAATTAATTTTCGAGTTCAAAACGTTTCAACGGAATCCTCTTATGCTGCCTAATGTTGTTTATTTGATTTTTAATTAAAGTAAAAATGGAATTTTGTTTATCGAAAATAAAATAATTAACAATGTTATTTGAAATTTTTTGGTATTAAAAATGAAAAAGAAATAAATGATTAAGATTTAGGGAAATATTATAATTAATAATCTGAGTAATTAATTATGAGAGGAATTTGAGGCGCGTGTCGATTTCAATGTCCTTGATCAGGATTGAGAATTCATTGTGGTATGTTCTCGACGTTCAATTATGCCAAGAGCTAACGACATTGAACTGTAAAGACATGCGTACATACACACGGAGTATAATACTCGAATATATGCATTCCCGTTTGATCATCTGCAAATCCACAATACACCAGATGCAATTGACAAAATCACATTTACTCCATAGAGTGCGCCAACAAACCATGAAAATCAATTCTTAATTAAAAATAAATGAAAAAATTCTTTAGATATTTCGAATTTATTTACTCATAAAATATTCATATCGTGCACGTCTTCATAAAGTCATTCAAAGATAAATTAAACATTCAATTATATTTAATAATCTGTTTTAAAAATTTATTTTTTATTTAATTAAGCATCATTTCTACTTTTCTTTTCTTTAATTATTTAATTATTTATTCTTCTGTTTTATGAAAAATATGGGGAAAACTTGGTAGAAAAATTTTCTTAAAATTGAATATACTTTTCAAGGGAAAGGAATTATTTGTAATTAAAAAAAATCTATTCTTTGAAAAGTAAATGGTGAAACATAAAATAAATAATTTTTTTCTCTATTTTTGATTCCTTTGATTAACGAGATAACATGTTTTCCATTTATCCGAGAATATGACGTCTCTATTAATATACTTATATGTACATTTTTTTATTAAATATAGGTACATGGATTAATAAAACAATATCCGGATACTCGTGCCACATATGCGTACACATATTTTCGCTTATACATACATTTCGATTTTACTTTTTACGAACAGCCGATCGTATCGTGTTTTAATTTCTCTCGTTCACTATTTTATTTTATTTATACACCCGTGAGCAGGAGAAATATGGCAATCGAATGACTATGCTCGAGAGGAACAAATATATATATATATATCTATAGGATCCAAATATATGTATATTAGCTTGTACTGATATGAGTGAAAGCAGTACCAAACACGTGATTGCACTGAGGGGCTACGGATATTTACTTACGTTTGTGATAGTGAATATATATATATATATATATATATTGATGATTTTGAAATGTGTTAACAACGTAAATAATACTCTCCTTTATCGGAAATTGTGTCTGTATCAATATTTGAATGTTACAACATTTTAATAACTTTTTTCCTTTATTTTTTATATTTAAATCTCATTATTTGAATTTTAAAATAATGTAATCAAACTTTTTGTTTTGAAGACAATTGTTCAAACAAGACTACTGATGAACAAATGAATGGAACAGAATAAGTCAAATTGACTAAAAAAATTTGGTGAAAAAAAATATTTTATTTTTTATTTATTTCGAATTAAAAATACACTATCATTTTTATAGAATAATTCAATTAAATTGCTGATATAAATTAATAAATATTTTCGGATTTATTTCAAATTCAAGAGGTTTATATTTATTAATATTTTTCATTAGTGAACAGCAGCTAATTGATATTGGAAAAAATAGATGATAATTTGTTGAACAAACATTGCTAATATGAATGTTTAAAAAGTGCACAAAATATTTGCATAAATAAAAATGCAAATAGTCAATTCGTATTCTGAATACAAAAATAATTGAAAAATCTCGAAAAGTAAAAGTTATTTGATTTATTAGTTAGAAAGTTTTCATTCAACTTGAAAATAGAGAAAGAAATGACAGGGGCCAGGTAGATTTCTTTGAAAACAGAGAATTAATTTTAATGAAAATTTGCCAGGTTAACAAAAGCCGAAAATGTTTGCTGAGGTATACCAGGATCATTTATAAATCTCAGACGAGCTTGTTTTCTGGTTATATCTAATTAAGCCACGGTAGTCAAAACGGAGGAAGAAGAAAATGCAGTAGACAAGGTGGCCTGTCTTGAAGGAACGGCATCGTTTATAATTACTCGACGCTTTGAAACGACCAACTCAATTACAATTTGCTGTGCTTTTGATATGCGTAGGTCTGCGTTAGACGTATTATATACATAACCAGCTATCTGATGGTTTATATATGTATATTTCACACGTCCATATAAATATATGTATATGTATATATATATATACATATAGTAGATTTATATATATATATATAGATATCCACCTACATTCCCTCTGAAAAGCAAACCCGATTTTAATTTGACTAAAGTTCAAATTGCTTCCATCAGTACATCTCGGCTCAATAAATTCTGTAGAGAAGCTATGTATGTGAAAAATCGAAATTGCATCCAAGCTATTCATCCAAACATCCATTTTTTATTTGCGATTTTTGGTCTTTTAACTGTATTTCCCTCTATCAATAGCTCACTTTATTTGCTAGGATTCACAAGAAAATCTATGGGCTTTTAATAATTTTTTTAGTTATTATATTTCTGTTAGTACTCTAGTAAAAACAATTCTAAAGCTCAAATAAATAAATTCATAGGCACAGTGAATATTGAAATAATATTGTAAACAAAAAAAAAGAGTTTAAATTTTTTTATAGAAATATTGTATTATTGGAATTCAATTCTCTTGCATGAAAGATTATCTCTATACTTTCTCCAATGGAGGTCAAGGACACACATCCTCTTAGCTCAACAGCACGTGTACGCAAAATTAATAGAGGAAATTCTCACACGTTATCATTGCCCTCGAATTCGTATTCCTAATTATCAGTTGGCTCGTGCTGTTGATCAATAATTAGGTCAACAGGAATGTTGGAATCCAATTATCCTCCAAGTCCCTCTTGTGATCTGGGTCAGCTTATTTTAACTCGTCAACAATAATATTTATCTTCCGATAAAAAGTGCATTTCATCAATCAATCAATATATTAACATGACATATTGAAAAATTA